TTCACATTTAAATGCTGGAGTGCTCTAACGATAGCCACTTGTGGGTTTCCAGCCAAATATAAAGAAATCACACTATCACGCAAAAAAAGATCTTGTTGACCTTAAAGAACATTTTTAATTTTGTCGATATCAACGTTTTTTCAACCCATGGTTCATGGAAAACCACTAAATTAAATACACTTTGCCCACTTCAATAGCTAAATTTTAATGTCAACACAAAATTGAATGTCTTTATTTGTTTAAACTTGTCCGACCTCCTCCTATCACTGTGTGTTTTTTAATACATATTTTGGTCACGCTATTTCATACATACATATTTAAATGAGTTTTACACAGAGTTGGCGTTTCTCCATTATTATGGTAATTTGACGTCATTTGATTTTATACAAAACACAATTTTGCACAAAGGAATTTGATTACTTTTACAGAGACTCTCAAGATTTTGAACAAGCAAAAAAGAAATGAAGGCAAAAAAAATATACCGAAACGAAAAAGGGTTGATGTAATTATTTTGAGTTTGTTTGGGACTACAATATTCTGTCCGTCATCTTGCCCCCCACAATACAATCTGTGGTTGGCTAACAATAAAAACTGCAAGATGTTGTCAATATTTACAGTTTTGTAAATTGTCGTTTAAGATATGATTTGTTGACACAATTTCTTTTGGGCGTCTAAGGCGGTCGATGGGAGCCAAAATCAATCTCTTTTTTTTTGGGGAAGTTGAAGTAAAAGAAAAAGAAATTTTGTCATGTAATAAATACAATAAGTCTTTAAATCAATATTGAATTTAGTGCTTTATTAAAGAAAGTTGAAAAATAAAAGGGGGTTTTAAGACAGAAATGTTGTTTACAAACTGCTGGACAACGAATGTTTTCTCATCGGAGAAAACGAAATTCGGCAGTTCACCACTTTCGGCCAAGCGAAGCAACTCTTTTGAGTCTATTTCCTTTCTGTGGCGGTGTAAGTTCTTGACCTTTTTGGAATTTCAATGGCTTTACCCCGAGCTCATTTTTCAATATTAGCCGAATGGAATATTGTGATATGTTCAGCTCACGAGCCATTTTTCGGCCACTTCGGAGTGGGTTTCGATCAAGTCGCTTCTTTACTTTTCGAACCATTTCTGCTGTTGTTGCTGTTTTCTTCCGTCCACTTCCTTGACGTCGGGCTACGCTAGCAGTATCACGGTAACGAGCGATGGTACGAGACATAAAAGATTTATTCACATTTAAATGCTGGAGTGCTCTAACGATAGCCACTTGTGGTTTTCCAGCCAAATATAAAGAAACCACACTATCACGCTTGCATTCCATCACCAATATTTTTTTTTCTCTTTTTCGCTTTTAAACAATATATATAATGGTACCTCCCTATTTTCGGTATTTTGGTGATTTAAGCGACATTATTTACTGGTATTTGCAGTTCGTAATGGATATTACAGCCTATGACAGAAAATTGTCCATGCGCGTTCACGCCTTCGTATAGCCCCCATATAACGGCACCTCCAGATATTAGGTATTTTGGTAATTTTAGCGGAATTTGGTATTTGAAGTTCTAGTGGATACTACAGCCTATGACAGAAAATTATTTGTGCAGGTCCACGTCTTCGTATAGCCCCCATATAACGGTACCTCCGGATATTCGATATTTTAATGATTTTAACGACATCATACACCGATATTTTTTTTCAAGTTTCGTTAATATGAAAGCTACATTCGGTATTTTTAAGATTTTAACAGAATTATTAAAGGATTTTATTTATTTATTTTTTTTTTTTTGAAAATTGCAAAATTCGTTCCAAATAATGAAGGGTATTCAATTTCGGCCCGGCCGAACTTACTGCTTTTTTACTTGTTAAAATTTCTATAGACCATGTGACTAGTCTCAACAATTTTTAATATACGATTCAAGATTTTTGTCCAGGAAACATTGTTCTTCTTTATAAAAACGCTAAGTTTGATCAGGAGGTCTTCGGTAATTATTTCTCAAAAAAAGTTTCGATTCGTAAAGTCCTTTTAATTTTTTTTCTTTGAAATTTATGATTTTGGTCTACTTTCTTTGTTTTTGATTTTCTTAGATCCATGATTTTATTCCAAGATAAGTTTTAAGTTTTTTTATAACCTACCATTTTGGTTTATATATATTTTTTAAATTCGAAATTTTTTTATACCTTGTGACTTTGTCCTTAAAACTTGTTGTTGTGAAATCTTTAATTGTTAGTCACAATATCCATAAATTCATTATAAATGAACAATTTTTAATTAGGATGCCCATGAACAATTTTCGGTCCAGAAAGTCTTTATAATTTATATTTTTTTAGATCCAAGATTTTAGTCGGCGTAAATATTTTAGAGTTTTGCCTTGTTAAGGCGAAGATCATATCAAGAGAAAACAAACACGTAAATATTTTAAATTTTATTTTAATTCAACGATTTTGGTTCGAGATTACTTTAAACATTTTTTTCGGACGAGGAAAAAGTTAAATAACCTTATAATTTGTTTTCATAAATATTTACGATTCTTGCCCACAAAGACCATTTAATTTGTTTAATTCACAATTAATATTTTTAAACGACTTTTTCCGTCGGGAAGTCGTAGAAAAATGATTCCTTAAAAATCCATCTTCTTTAGGAAGTCCTTGTAAATCCATGATTTTTTGCTAGAAATCTACAATTGTGGCACGGACCTCCCTTATATGTACCTTAAACATTAATAAAAGAATCCCCGTTTTAGTGTCAAGATAATGTCGATAAGTATTCTCAGCCAAAAAGTCAGCTAAAATAGAAAAAATCCCTATATTTGGACCAGGAACCCTTTCAACAAAATCCACGATTTTCGGCCGAAATTTCCTAAAGGATTTTCACAAAGGCCTTAGGATTTGGTCCCGTTTTTGGATCAAATCAGAAATCTCGATCACATTACGAGAATCATGATTGGCCAAAAATTTGCCATTATGTAAGGTAGGTACGTTTTTTGAAGTCCTTTTGTTTTTATACCCTCCACCATATTATGGTATATTAATTTATATATATATAAGTTTTTCGTTCCGTTTGTAACACCCCGAAATATATATTTTAGACCCCACTAAGTATATATATTCTTAATCAGCATAAAATTCTTTGTCGATTTAGCGATGTCCGTCCGCCTGTCCGTTTGTGCGTCTGTGGAAATCTCTCTAGCTTGAAGTAGGTTGATAACATTTTACTCAGATGTACATTATGTCGGCAGGATTTTTGGTATTGAAAATGGGCCATGTAGGTCCACGTGTTGGTATATCCCCCATATAATGGTACCTTCCGATATTCGGTATTTTGATGATTTTAGCGACATTTTTCTCCGGAATTATTTCAAATTTGGTATTTGAAGTTCGTAATGGATACTACAGCCTATGACAGAAAATTGTCTGTGCATGTCTACGTCTTTGTTAAGCCCCTCCTCCCTATATTCGGTATTTTGATGATTTTAGCGACATTATTAATCGGAATTACTTCAAATTTGGTATTTAAAGTTCGTAATGGATACTGCAACCCAAGACAGAAAATTGTCTCTGCAGGTCCACATTTGGGTATAGCCCCCATATAATAGTACCTCCCTTTATTGATGATCAAGTTTCACATTTGAGTATTGTGCTTTTGACAAAAATGCAAGTCCACGTCGTCGTTTAGACCCTAATATGACGGCTACATTTGTTATTTTTAAGGTTCGGTCCGACCGGACTTACAGCTTTTTTACTAGTTTTTTTTTCATAATTATTCTTGATTATTTTTAATGTACGTTTTTCTGTCCGAAGACCTTTGAAAACGTGTTTTTTAAGAAGTCCTTGTAGTTTTTGTAAACCCAATATTTTTGCTCAGTAGGTCCCTTGAACACTTGCCTTTAAAAATCCCATGAGGCCAATGAACCAAGAAACCTTTCAACCAAAAATTAAAAATCTTAGGACTTGGTCAAAGTTTTGGACCAAATCAAAGAGCTCAATCGCATTACAAGGATCATGATTGTCCAAACATATATATTTTCAACTTAAATGTGAACGTAGAAATAATCAAAACGTTTTTCATTCACCTACTATGGGATTCAAGATTTTCTATCCATTTGTGGAAATGAGGTGTAAATCTATGTATCCCACTGTCGGACTTCGTCCGAATACGGTGGGATATGAGGATATCGGAACTAAATACACTTTTCACGAGGGTCATTTTTTTTTTTTTAATTTGACCATTTGTCAGGGATATATCACAGAAAATAGATAGACATTTTCAAAATGGATCAAATAATGGCGAAAATATTAGGAGTTTCTTTAAAAATCGCTCATCTCAATATTTCTATCCATACTAGGTCCGATGTACGGATCTCTCACATTGAGTTCATGCGGGAAATTAAAGTATTTTCTCTACCAAAAGAGAGACGAAATTTTAAACAATTATGAATGACTCCACAATATTTTATCTCATATAGTGGTAGTGGTTCAGGTACTTCCCTCGCAAACATTTTTTTTTACAAATCGTTAGTCACATATAAAACGAATAGGTCCTAAGACGAAATGTAATTATTTCCTGCTACAAAGCCTAGAGTTTGCAAATGGAAAATGTCCGCCCATTCCATTTGGTACGTTCCCTACAAAAGAGTCCAATGTGAATTATGTCACCGAGCTTTTCACAAACATTACTTAAGGTGTTCTTCTAATAGCCTAATAGTAATCGTTTACAAGAGTGCCCGCAATGTCGATCGTAACCATACATACATAAATTCAAACTATGCACTCCCGTCAATCATCGATATCTTACAAATATTTTTCTATAAATACCTCGCTCCACAAAATACGAAATTCCGAATTAGTCAACGTCGTTTTAATTGCATTTATATAAAAAGAATGCCGCCGCTTCAGAGACTTATCAGCTTGCAAAATCGGAAGGGTTAAAATGCATTAACCTTTTCATAATGAAATTGTTATTTTTATAGCGGCTGATGAATAATGTTTCGAAAATTTCAAATGCAGCTTCAGTCTCGTGTACATTCTTAATCAGACAGCATGGATTTTACAAAGTTCTTACAAATCGCATTTTTCGTATTTGCGTTGGTGTTCGCGTGCTGGGGTCAGCAAATAATTACACAACGATTCGACACTGAGACGGTAAGAAGACATTTCTAAGAATTTATAGAGCTACCTTGCGAAAAATACTATATGCGTTTTTGTTTACCGGATTTGAATTGTAACAATATCAATATAAATCAACCTAAAACACGATCTTAGCATTTTACTAAGCTAAGCGAAGCTCTCATTCTTTGAGAGTTAAAATAGGACAGTGTAACACAAAAAAAAAAAAACAAAATCTCAGTAGATTATGAAAGAGAAGCCATGTGAATGGGCGTCAAGAATATTTACATCTGCAATTAATTAAATTATTAACGAGAAAAGTTCTTTCTCCTACACAAAATTACTCAAAATTTTGCTGAGAATTTTCCAGAAAAAAAGTTATTCGTGATGGAATTCAAGCGTGATAGTGTGATTTCTTTACATTTGGCTGGAAAGCCACAAGTGGCTATTGTTAGAGCACTCCAGCATTTTAATGTGAATAAATCTTTTGTGTCTCGTACCATCGCTCGTTACCGTGATACTGGTCGCGTATTGCGACTTCAGGGAAGTGGACGGAAGAAAACAGCAATATCAGCAGAAATGGTTCGAAAAGTAAAGAAGCGACTTTATCGAAACCCGCGTTGCAGCGTCCGAAAAATGGCTTGTGAGCTGAACATAGCGCAATATTCCATTTGGCAAATATTGAAGAATTAGCTTACCCCGAGCTTGAAATTTCGAAAAAGTCCAAGAACTTATACCGCAACAAAAAGAAAATAGACTCAAAAGAGTTGCTTCGCTTGGCCGAAGTGGTGAATTTGGTTTTCTCCGTTGAGAAAATATTCGTTGTTCAGCAGTTTGTAAACAAATAAAACGATCGTGTTTACTTGCCAAAGACGTCAACTGAAAATGTGCACCTTCGGTTGTCCACTAGAACTCCAGAGCCGGCCATGGTGATGGTGTAGAGCCGGCATAACAGCCGATGGTAACTCTCCGCTCAGAATAAATGCCGAAAATATTCTGGAGGGTGTATCAAAGTCTTGGGCACGCAAACATTTTGGCCGCAGAACTTGGACATTCCAACAGGACTCAGCACCATCGCACTCAGCGTGTGCCAGCCAAGAATGGTTACAAAATAAGGTTCCTCGCTTCGTTTCCATCGTACAATGGCCACCAACATCTCCAGATACCAATCCGTTGGACTATTGTGTCTGGAGTATTTTGGAAAGCAAGGTTGGCACCAAAAAAATATTAAAGTGTCGATCACCTCAAACAAACGCTTCGCCGGGAATGGGCCAAATACCGCAGAGCAACATTCGGGCAGCGTGTGACGGTTGGCCGTTTGAAGGCCATAATTCGTGCTAATGTTGACCAATTTGAACAAATCTAAACTTATTCTATAATTGAATGCTATTTCCGACATTTTTGCTTTCATTCAATAAAATTAAAAAAAAAAAAAAAATAAAAATTATGGCGTTTGACTTTATGGCATTTTTTATCTCACCCTGTACTTATTTATCCAATTTCAGGTTTATTGTGCACCAAATGGCGAATATCAGTCCAACTGACTGAACGTTGGCACTTCCGACGGAAGAAGCAAGTATTTCAAATTTTGGTGAAAATCGGTTCAGATATAACTATAGCTCCCATATACATGTTACGAGAGCTCTACTATATGCGTATAGTGGTATAGGGTATTATGTAGTCGGCCCGGCCGACTTTTGACTTACTGGTTTTTATATAAAAGTATGGTTTATTTTACCCGATAAATATTGTCTGATGACTGCCCAATTTGGTAGGCTTCTGCCCAGCCGTAAGCTCTACTTCTATGTACCCCTAAATATTTTGTAGATTCAATCCTCAAATATTTTGCGATCATCTCCAAAAACAATAGGCTTCTCTTCTGACCCTAACCCCGCCTCCATTTTTAAATAATAAATTAACATTGTTAGATGAACGGACGGATATACATTATACATAGATCGACTCAGCTCAGTGTTATAGGAAGATCCATATATAGTTTTCTATGTGTAGGACCAATGTTTCGAGGTTTTACATAATTTTTGGCCCAATTGAATATAATACCCCTAACACAAAGTATATGCATAATCTTTCTTAACGTCGGAGTAAATAAACATAATAACAAAGAAAATGAAATTCCAATTTTTAACGCTCAGGTGACGATCAGTGTTGCCATGCGTTTTAAAATTGCTGAAAACAGAACTATACAACTTGAAACAATCTAATCGGAGTTTTCGCAAGGCTGGGCTCTAGTGTACTATCAATTCAAATAGAGATTGCATGTATTTTTTTCTGAATTTGATGATCTGATTTCCATTACATTCGATACTCTTTAAGAAAATAACCCATCTTATCTAGTGTAAACATTTTATTTTATTGGACTATAACTTAACATATTTTTAAAAATGTTCTGAATCCGTAGCCCAGATATTGTAGTTTCTTCGCCTATAGCTCTTAAGATGACCTGAAAATTAAAGTTTTACAAATTTTTTTTTTAACTCCACCAAAAATATTTCTAATTCTATTTTAGAATTCAGCTCCCATGCGCCACGTTCGACAAATGTCCATATTCCATGTGCCACAACGTCCATCGCCCTGCGGCTATACACATAATGGAAAACGTCGAAGGAGATGTTAAAGTTGACGGCGATATATACTTTGTGATACGATCAAATATCTACTTTACTTATAATTAAATTATAATCTAGACTCTAGAGTGTAAGAAAGAGCGTGAGCAGAACTATGTGCTGCTCTATCAACACCATGTCATTCATATGTCCAATCAGCCATTCATTCATAACTTTTATACATATATTGTTGTTGTGATAAAAAAAATATTATAACTGTTATCCATGGGTGTTGCTGTTGTTTGTATGTATGGAAAATATATTCTAGGAGATCATATTTATTTGTATGGATGGAAAATATTTTTTTATTTTCATTTCGTTTTTTTTTGCTTTTGTAAACATCTCAATGTAAAAATGATGCCCATATCACCATCTCATCGTGAACATGAACCACAACCATACTTTCATTCAGCCAGTAAACCAGCCATCCATCTGTCCATCCACTCACTCCATCCATTCCTCAGTAGGCAACATTATGCTTATCAGTTGTTGCCTGGCTGTAAAACTTTATGGTTCATTTATTTACACGCTAAAATATTTAAATAGTGCTACAAATTGAAAAAAAAAAAAAAACAAAATTATATTTATCCTAAATTAAAACAACAAAAATCAAAAACCGGAACTTCAAATCCTACAACAACAATGCATTTCGGTGCCATATTACTAATACTGATCCTGGTGCTAACTACTCTGGTGCTCTGCGCTCAAAGTAAATCTGTGAATACGGAATTTATTAAATCACGACAGCGAGTTTTGTCCACGATGAAGGTGATGCATTTTTTTTTATAGAAAATTCCAGTTTTTGTTGTTAATTTAATTTCTTTCCCTGTCTAGGCCAATTCCAAATCCCGAATATTGAGTCCCATGATTTTGAAAGTGCCTAGGCAGCATGAATTTTGCGGCCGAACACACAAGGGCAAACCGTTACGTTGTAAATAAATAACATTAGACTGCGAATTGAAACGCAAATGCACGAGACACCAACAACACCACCATCAAAGGCTGGATGGTGATGGTGATAAGAATTGGGAATCATCTCATTGCCATTAAAAAAGTGCCAATCGCCGCCTTTAATCAATATAATTTGAATTTAGATGCTAAGCATGATTAGCCATAGAATCGATAATAGTATTAAACAAAAATAAACAAATTAGTTGTCTAAGTAGACTTAAGAGATCTCCGGCCATTTCCATGGTGGGAATTTAGAATATACTCAAATTGAGTTGCAAAATAAATATTTCATAAATGTAAAAAAAAAAACAACAGCAGCAGCCGCAACAATTGTTTTGTTCAGTGGCTCTCTATGATACGTTGTCGTCTGTATATTTCCGTTCTCTCATGTATATGTTACTTCAGGGCCGTACCATATGTGAATGGGAACGCATCGCCGTCAGTTGGGTAAATGACTGATTATTTTATTGTTATAGGTCAATATTTTTTTTTTTTTTTTTCACTTGGAACATATTTTTGTATTTGTATGTAAAGATTTGGAAATATCTAGCAATTGCCTGTTATTTCGTTAGTGTAAATTACACTGTGCAACAAAGAAAATAATTCGAGGGTAGTACTTTATAAAAACAGAGCTTAGAATTTGAAATTAAATCAAAAATAACCTAAATAGACGAGGTGAGTCCCCATAACCATCCCTTACAATTTTTTATATTAATTCCGATTTAGATTTCTTGAAATCCTTACATCATTGGTATATAGTGTAATCGGCAATATTACAGATAACAATGTGGTGGTTTTCTACTTTAGAGTGCAAGGAGGTGCCTTAGAATACATGGAGGTTATCTTCCGTAGAAGACCTTAAAGTCTTCTGCCTGATGATCTTCAGCCATAGAAGACCTCGAGGTTTTTTGCCATAGGAGACCTGGAGGTTTTTTGCCATAGAAGACCTATGGTCTTCTGCCATAGAAGATCTGAAGGTATTCTGCCATAGAAGATGTGGAGGTGGTCTTCTGCAATAGAAGATGTGGAGGTGGTCTTCTGCCAAAGAAGAAGTGGTGGTGGTCTTCTGCCATATAAGACTAGAAGGTGGTTTTCTGCCAAAGAAGACGTGGCGGTATTCTGCCATAGAAGACCTGCTGATCTTCTGCCATATAAGACCGGGAGGTCTTCTGCCATAAAAGATCTGGAAGTCTTCTGCCATAAAAGACCTGGAGGTCTTCTACCATAGAAGACATGGAGGTCTTCTGCCATGGAAGACCTGGAGGTCTTCTGCCATAGAAGACCTGAAAGTCTTTCTCCATAGAAGACCTGGTGGAATCGTGCTATAGAAGACCTGGAGGTGGTCTTTTGCCATAGAAGACCTGGAGGTGGTCTTCTGGCATAGAAGACCTGGAAGTCTTCTGCCTTATAATACCGGGATGTCTACTGCCATAGAAGACTTGGAGGTCTTCTGCCTTAGTAGACCTGGAGTTGGTCTTCTGCCATAGAAGGTGGTCTTCTACCGCAGAATACCTGGAGTTGGTCTTCTGCCATAGAAGATCTGGAGATGGAGGTAAAATACCTGGTGGTCTTCTGCCATAGAAGACCTGGTGGCCTTCTGCCAAAGAGGACCCGGAGGTCTTCTGCAATAGAAGACGTGTAGGTCTTCTGTCATAGAAGACGTGTAGGTCTTCTGCCAAAGAAGACCCGGAGGGGTCTATTTGGATACAGATATGACTTAAACGTGCATCATTGGAGTAACGGTTTAAGATCCTAGGACCCTTTGGACCAAATACGTTTCAGGACATTTGAAGACGATGTAGGGGTATCCGCCCGTCTGTCTGGCTTTTGCGCACGATAACTCTCGATGGGAGTATCCGATTTGGTCCAAACGTGGTAAATTGTAATATTATTGTCAAACTTAGATCGAGTTCGGGATGGCCAATATTGGATGGCCTTCTGGTACCTCCCGCACGAAAGGTCTAAATTTTCACAGAAAATAATTTACATTATAAAACACGAAAGGATCATCCACAAACGCAAACTTTGCAAAAGCCAATATATGTATCAAAAATGGACAATATCGGTCCACTCTATCATGTACCTCCCTCACAAAGTATCAGAATTTTCAATATTTATATATCTCACAAATTGCGAAACAAGTCAGCGATCCTATTCAAACTTAGTATATCTAAATATTTCTCTAAATTAGAGATCTGATGTGAATATGAATTTTATCGGCCCACTGCTTCTGGTAACTTCTCCACAAAAGGTTAACATTTTGATTAACAATCATTCGCATAAAATTGGAAATAAATGTTCGATTTCCTGTATTTTTTGCATATCTCGACCTTTTTATCAGAATTAAAGTAAGCGGAATACTTTGATTCACTATATCTGGTACCTCACAAACATTTCTACATTTTCCAAAAATTAACAGATATCTTACACCAAGCAGATAAAGAAGTCGTAGATAGTTATATCAGACCTATCTGATACGCAATGGACAATAACAGATCAAAATCAAAATGTATTAAAAAAAACGGACAGCACTTTTTAAGTTTTTTTTTTTTTTTTGTTTTCATAATAAAATTGGAAACACAAAATTATCCTCCTTTGCATTAAATTATACCTATCAACCACAGCTTAAACGACTGTCAATGCTTAGTTAACAGGTTCAGTGTATACCCACATATTTGTTTGAATATTCAAAAATAAAACAAAAACACGGATACTGTGTTATCAGTCACAAATTGCACACCATTGAACGCCAAACGTTTGCCGTTCGCATCAGTCCAACAATAATAAACAAACGTAGAAGTCATGGATCTGTTGAGGAGCCGTCATATTTTTGCATTTATGCTCGTTTTACATTGGACAATCGGGAATATAAAGCTTCGGCAAAATCCCACGGTGCAGAGGAACCGCCAAGTTCAGAGATGCCTCCAATAAGAGATGAAGTAGGCTTTTTTCAACTCTTAATATCAAAATAATAATATTTTTTTTTATTTTTAGAAAAAAATTATCTCGACCATATTCGTAGTCCCCGTACAAAAAAATTGCGGATATAGACATAATGGAAAGCCAATAAAGTGTTAATGTTTACAACTTGTTCGTTTATACGCCGCAAATGGTTGTGTTTATTCATTATTTGTTTTGAATATATTTCAGTGCTAAAACCAATGAATGTGGTTTTATTGGAAAATTATTTAATTCATTTTAATATCTAAGGCTTATGGCTACAGATACCAGAAAAGGACTACGTATATAGTGCGACCTGCCTTTGCTAAAATTAGGAGTTCAGAACCAGCGTACGAAACAAATCATGTACCGCTCACAAGAAGTCACAAACACAAACAATTCAATGTGAAAAGTACAAAAAAAAAAAAATAATAAAATCAATTGTTTAATCTACTTGGGCCATGAGTTGCCGAGCTATATCGTTTGCAAACGAATCGCCAAGACGTTTCCAAACATTTCCAATAAAAAATATAAATTCAACTCAATATTAATTTGTACATTATTTTTAATGAGTTAATACACAAGCAAACGTTTTCATCATCATTAGATCATTTCAAACTTTCGAAATCCTAATATTTTTGTCAGTTTTAGGTTACGTGCAAAAATTTGGTATAATTATAAGTCTTAAAAATTGGGAAATATTTCAAATTTTACACATCCACTCGTTCTGGTACCTCCCTACATCGGATAAAAATTTTGAATAGCCCTGAAGCTCGTAAACGCGAGATGATTCCTTTGAAACTCGACACATCTCAATATTTCTATCCCCACAAGATGTCATGTGATGATGGGATTTATCGGTTCATTTCTTCTGTTACATCCCCCCCAACGGGTCAGAATTTTGAATAGCCATGAAGCTCGTACAACGCGAATGAGCATCCGATTCTTTCCAATATTTCCTCCTTTACTTTCCTTTCCCTTTTGATATTTCAATATTTTTATCAACACAAGATCTGTCTTGAAGGTGACATATGCAGAGTGAGATGAAAAAACTGCTACCAATTTCACACTGCTGTCATATCTAAGCCACTCTATGAACAGCTGTTAAAATCATTTCAGTGACAGCTCATTATATAGTTTACAATCGTACAAAAGCATTTTGCTGAGAATTTTCCAGAAAAAAGTTATTCGTGATAGAATTCGAGCGTGATAGTGTGATTTCTTTATATTTGGCTGGAAAACCACAAGTGGCTATCGCTAGAGCACTCTAGCATTTAAATGTAAATAAATCGTTTATGTCTCGTTCCATCGCTCGTTACCGTGAGCAATGGTATCGTAGCCCGACGTCAGCAGAAATGGTTGGAAAAGTAAAGAAGCGACTTGATCGAAACCCGCGTCGCAGTGGCCGAAAAATGGCTCGTGAGCTGAACAAAAGAAAATAGACTCAAAAACGCTAAAGGGTTGCTCCGCTTGGTCGAAAGTGGTGAACTGCTGAATTTGGTTTTCTCGGATGAGAAAACATTCGTTGTCCAGCAGTTTGTAAAAAAACAAATTGCCAAAGAGGTCAGCTGAAATTTTGCACCTTCGGTTGGCCACCAGAACTCAAGCGACGGCCGTGGTGATGGTGTGGGCGCCATAACAGCCGATAGTCGATCTCCGCTCGTATTAATCAACCGTGGAATCAGAATAAATGCCGAATATTATGGCAAAAATATTCTGGAGGGTTTATTAAAGCCTTGGGTACGCAAGCCTTGGTACGCTTCGCCGAGAATGGGCCAAAATACCGCAGAGTAACATTCAGGCAGCGTGTGACGGTTTCATTCACCGTTTGAAGGTCATAATTCGTGCCAAAGGTGATCAATTCGAACAAATCTAAACTTATTTTAAAATTTGGTGCTATTTCCGACACTTTTTTCATTCAATAAAATTTAAAAAAAAATGTAAAAAGTATGGCGTTTATATATTTATATTTATTTATTATTTTTGTTTTTGTTAAACCCAAATCATCTTTTTCTTAAATATCACCACATTATAGAAATAATACGGATCACCGTGAAAGGAAGTTATTAAAAAGTAATCATCAATATCTACATGGTATCGGCTGGCCATTGTGTCTGTATCCACACGGAGAATATCTTTCTGGAGTATAGAATAAAAAGCCTACCATCTAACAAAAAAAAAATTATAAATTAATAAATAAATAAAAATATCAATATGCCCATTTTATATATCTCTATACTCTTACCTGTGTTGAATTGTTTGTTGAATCTTCCATGTCTTGTCCTCGCAGACATTTTATACTTATTATTGCCAATAAAATAAAATATAAAATGCTGATTTTCATACTAATGCCGTAACAGATGCGCTCAAACTGAATAATTAATATTCAATACAGTAGAATTCCTATTTATACATAACCTAAGCACAATAAATTAGCACGGTTGATTAGGAAAAGCTTATGCATTCAAAATACAGCAAAGCTGTTTTATTTTTTATATTATTCTTATTTTCCTTATCATATTAGTACGGGAAACCAAACATTTAACTTTATACGAATGGTACACTATTTAGTACATTTTTGTCTTTTTCATATGTTTTTGGTACGAATTCCAAATAAATTGGGCGTAGATTCCATCATGATTTCTAACAACTTTAATTGGATGAGGTGTATGAACCTATACTTATGTTCAAATTTTCATGACTACCTTCATCGTACGGTCCAAAAAATACCTTATTTTTGCAAATTTTTAAATTCCAACTCTACTTGTTCAGCCAACATTTAAATTATACGAAATTTAGTACCGTTTAGTGCACATAAGTAGGAATTTAGGAACTTAGTCCTACAATGCAATAGTAATCTTATTTCTAAATTTCAGAATTCCAGCTCTATCTATCCAAATCGAAATTGTACAAAATTTAGTACCATTAGTACTTTTCGTGTACATAAGTATACATTTCGAAAACTAGCTCCATATCCCAAGCCTACACTCAGCCAGTAATATTATTTTCAAATTTCAGAATTCCAGCTCCATCCGTTCCCTGCAAATTCATTTTGTACTAAATTTAGTACCGTTTAGTACTTTTCGTATACATAAGTAAACACTTCCAAAACTAACTCCTTACATCGGCTTGACCACTCCGCAACCTTGATTCCCATTCCTAATTTCAAGTTTTAAGCTCTACGAAATAGTATCAAATGTAGTACATTTTAGTAATTTTCATACACTTCTAGTGTAAATTCCCAATAACCCTATGGGGTACATCTATCATACACTTTATCAGTGACCCACATATAAGAATTCTAGCTCCATTGCTTCCTCAAATACAAAGGGTACCATATTTAGTACTTTTTAATATTTGTCGTACCTTTCTAGTTCGGATTTCCAGAAACCCGGCCTTATCTAATCCCTCTCGACCAAAAATGCCCCTCGCCCAAATTTTAAGATTCCAGCTTTGAACTGTTATATTCTATTTTATGAAAGTTTTGATTACTCAAAATGTTGACCGCTTGTGGGGAAGGTAGCTGAAGGAGGTAAGTTATTAAAATCATTATTTCGATGAGGCACGGCTTGGCCAGCCAGCCATACAAAGGAGCGGATGGACACCGCTAGATCGACTTTATATGTCCTGAAACATATTTCGTCTAAATAGTCCTATGTTCTAAATTCGTTAGTTCAATGGGGCCAATTTTGGCCTATCAAATGATATTCACTCTCTGTGCCCATACAGCTGAGGGAATACAGGAAAAGATAAAAAACTGCAACAAAGTCAAACGCCATAATTTTTACATTTTTTTTTAGTTTTATTAAATGAAAGCAAAAATGTCGGATGTAGCATCAAATTTAAAATATGTTTAGATTTGTTCGAATTGGTCAACTTTGGCACGAATTATGACCTTCAAACGGCCAATGAAACCGTCACACGTTGCCCGAATGTTGCTCTGCGGTATTTTGGCCCATTCCCGGTGAAGCGTTTGCTTGAGTTGACCGACATTTGGTATTTTTTAGTGCCAACCTTGCTTGCCAAAATACTCCAGACGATATAGTCCAACGGATTGGTATCCGGAGATTTTGGTGGCCATATTGTGCGCTGGAAATGAAGCCAGGCACCTCATTTTGTAACCATTCTTAGGTGGCGTGTGCTGAGTGCGATGGTGGTGAGTCCTGTTAGAATGTCCAAGGTTTGCGGCCAAAATATTTGTATGCCCAAGGCTTTAATATACCCTCCAGAATATTTTCCCGATAATATTCGGCATTTATTCTGATGCCACGGTCGATTAATACGAGCACACCATCACCATGGCCGGCGCTTGTGTTCTGATGGCCAACTGCAGGTGCACATTTTCAACTGACCTCTTTGGCAAGAAAACACGATCACTTTGTTTGTTTACAAACTGCTGGACAACGAATGTTTTCTCATCGAAGAAAACCAAATTCGGCAGATCACAACGTTCAGCCAAGCGAAGCTACTCTTTAGCTCTTTTGAGTCAATTTTCTTTCTGTTGCGGTGTAAGTTCTGGCACCTTTTTGGAATTTCAATGGCTTTACCCCGAGCTCATTTTTCAATAATTGCCGAATGAAATATTGCGATATGTTCAAATCACGAGCCATTCGGCCACTACGACACGGGTTTCGATCAAGTCGATTCTTTACTTTTCGAACCATTTCTGCCGATGTTGCTGTTTTCTTCGTTCCACTTTCTTGACGTCGGACTACGGTAACGAGCGATGGTACGAGACACAAAATATTTATTCACATATAAATCCTGGAGTGCTCTAACAATAGCCACTTGTTATATTTCCAGCCAAATATAAAGAAATCACACTATAACGCTTGAATTCCATCACGAATAACTTTTTTTTTTGGAAAATTTTCACCAAAAATGCTGTTGTACGCTTGAAAATTATATAATGAGCTGTTACTGGAATAATTTTAACGGCTGTGGGACGAGTGCTTAGAAATGACAGCAGTCTGAAGTTGGTTGCAGTTTTTTCATCTCACTATATCGGTCCATCTATACCGGTCTTATCTATACCTGTCCACGTTTTCATATAGCCTCCCCAAAACTGTAAATCCCGGCATTCGATGTTTTTACGATTTTAGCTCTATTTTTCACGGAATTCTTTAGATTTGGTGTTAGGAATTTTTAATGGGCTCTTTGTTGGCAGAGCATTGCCTCTATAAGTTCGTATTTTCTATAGCCCCCATATGATATAGCAGTACCTCCCGATATTCGGAGTCATGGTGATTTCAGCCACAAATTTTCACGAAATTACTTTTATTTTGATAACATTTGATAACCCCTATGGCGGAAAATTATTCTTATAAGTCCCTTATGCTATTTTGGAGTTCTTAACTGTATTCTGTATCCAATTCACTAGCATTTGCAGTTCGTTCAAACTTCATCAATATTGGTCTATTCATTCTAATTATATTACACCATCGGCTACGGCATAGGAATTACTACTTTAAAAAACTAAAATAATTTTTTGGCACTGGATTCTTTTGCTATGAAAATATGAAATGAAAAATATTTTATTTATAAAAGTTTTAATTTGACATTTTTTTTTTAATAATTTTCATTAAATATTTTAATAGAACAAGCATTGATTATTGAATTATACATTATTTGCAAACTATTTTTTTAAATAATTGGTTGTATTTATTCGTCACATTTCCACAAATACACATTGTCTGAAATAAAAGTCAATTCCACGAGGAACTTCTCACACACTCACCACCCTCAGTTATGGTCTTAATTCAGGGTTTCGGACAAATAATCACCTGACCATTATGTTTTATTCCGCAATTCTTTGCCTGATATTGAAATATCGATTTCCCACGACGACTGATAGCAGGTGGCTAAGAAAATACACTTTGTTAGATACAAATACACAAATCTAAAATTGGAGGTGCTGCCGCAAACACTCACTGATTCTGCTGCGGTACTATTTGCATTCAATTCCACTGGTGTCGATTTGGTTCCATTTGATTTTGGTTCATTGGCTTCGAGTATTACACAAGCGATTAAAAATACGAATAATTTTGTAAACATTACTTCTTATTTTCTTTGCGGTTCAAGTCAGACTGAGATTAAATGATTCAGCCCAGAATTGATTCTTCTTCTTGTTCATCAGAAAGATTGTAAGAAAAGTGCAGTTCTGGGAAAGAAAGCTAAATGCAATTTTCGGTGCGTCATTACGTGGTGATGATATGTGAGAATCATGTGGGAGAAACGACTTGAATTCTAATGTGTGTCAAATTTAACCAATATGGGTTTTTGTGGCATATTTTTAGGCGCTGCTATGTAAAATATTTAATTTAAGGCAAATGTTGAAAATATATCAATCAAGTTATATTATTTGCATGGTACTGGCGACCCGGCTATTGGACCGCCCGTTAAAGTTTGTAAGACACATGCTGTGCTCAAAAATAATGGCTTTCAATTGAAGTCAATTTAAGCTTTTCCATTCATTTATTTCCAATACACAATATTTACGAAAAATAATAAAATAGATACTTGTCGTATTCCTTAGAAGATTGTTATTGAAATATCTCCATATACAGGCCCCCATCATAAAAAGGTCAATATAGTGCACTGTTTTGACATAGGTACTATAAATTGATACCAGCCGATGTTAGTCATGGTGAAGTTCCCAAGCATATTTCCGAACCAAACTACAACTTTTCATAAAGATATCTTGATATTTTTGCTAAAAAAATGTAAAGTACCGACCGACTTAATGCATTTTAACCATAGAGCATGCTTTGCCTGTTTACATAATGGTAGTGCTCAATCTTGCGATTATAAGTTCCTAAGAATATATAAACCTTTATTGGTATCATATATTTGCGGTATTTTGGTGATTTCGACCTCAAGAATAACTGTTATTTCAAAATGGATATGTCAACCAGGTATATTTAAGGTGGCTGAAAGACCCTATTACATGGCTCTGATTTAAACATCGAAACCGAATTCGAATTGAAATTGATAAAGCACTTGATCAAATATTATCTGTTCACGTTTCATCATGCAACTGCAAATTTTGCAAATGCAAATTTTTAGGACAGCAAGGGTCGACTTTTTTTACCCTACTAAAGGTATTATGTCTCTGTGCATTTGTTTGTAACATGGAGAAGGAAGCTCATAGTTACTTTTGAGGATATTCATAGAATCACTTTCTGAGTCGATTTATCCATGTCCATGTATTTTTGTGAACAAAACGCAGGTTGTATTTATTATCCGATTAAGATTAATTTTTGCGAACAATATTTGTTTGGCCAAAGGACGATCCCTATTGGAATTGGTGATAATCGGATCAGATTTAGACTTAGCTCCCATATATATCTTCAAACGATTTCGGGATAATTGTTGTGCACCAAATGGCCAATATAAGTCCTAAAGACCTGAATTTTGGTACATCCCGCCGAATTCAGTCTAGAAGCAAGTACATCAAATTTGGAGAAAGCCGGTTCAGATATAGCTATAGGCTCTATATATATATTTTTCATCCGATTTGGGGTTCCTCACATGCGTAATATGCCTTCCACAAGAATAATATTCAGATACTGCTCGAAAATACCTTTGTCAAATTTTATTGAGATCGGTTCAGACTAGGATATAGGTTCCATATACATCTTTATTGTGCATCAAATGGCTAATATCAGTCCAAGCGGACTGAATTTTTGCCCTTACGACTGAATTCATCCTAGCAACAAGTACTTCAAATTTGGTGTAGATCGGTTCAGATATAGCTATAGCTCCCATATATATGTTTCATCCGTAATATGCATTCGACAACAAT